ACTATATACAATAGAAACTAAGAAAATACACAAACTAATCAAAAATCAAAATAAAATGAAAGGTAGCAGAAGAAGAATAAATCTTAGAATGTCTGCCCCTTTTATCCCCAAAATATATTCAAAGAAAATATAATTTACAAAACAATACTAAATAAAAAATAAAAAATAAAGATAGAAACATCATCTCAATCTGTTTTGTTGAAACCAACTTTGTATTTTCTCAAATTCTTTCTGTACCATTTAGACATTTTGTTGTCATACTGTATTTTGGGGTTGATGAAAATGTTTCAGTGCAACAGTTTAATGAACACAGGTGTGAAACACAGAACATGCTGCTAGTGATAAGCTGAAAGACTCAGAACAGGAAGTTACACACACACACACACACACACACACCTGTGAGAATATCACATGTGTTACAGTCAAACTGAATATTTTTGAGCAACCTTACTGTAACTTCATTTCAAATTATATGATAAAGACAGATTAGTTAAGTTCTGTAGCTAAAATAGCATTAGCATTAAAATAAAAAAAATGTGAAGAAGCAATGATTTTGAACAAAACCAGTCTGGTTTGAAAAGATTTTTAAAACAACAGTATTTCCATGCTGGTTTCCCCTGATGAAGTTCCTGCAGTATTTTTCTGATCTTTATTTATAGTGTTTTTCTGCTATAGGCACATTGTTTTGCTAAATTTTCCATATATAGTAGCAACAAAGAACAAAGCTTAACGAATGAGCCACCTTCAGCAGGTCGATGTGTTCTGATTGGACAACAAGACATAAAAGGAATAATCTTTGGGCTCCACTGATTTAAGGAAAACGTTATGTTGGTACATTCTGACACAAAAACACATTTTATTCTAAATGATTTAGTTGCATCTACAAGAAAAATGAAAGTTCACACACACACACACACACACACACACACACACACACACACACACACATAGCTCAGCAGCTGTCCACTTCCCACATGCAGTAAAGTTATGGACATCTCGTACCTGTTCCATACAGCAGGGACTGATAAGCTGCAGGTTTCTGCTGGTTCTTGTTTTTTTTTTCTGACATCTCTGATACAGCTGAGCCTATATATATGTAACATCCAGGTGAGCCGATCCACGTTGCATCAGAGGTGAGTTCTGCTGTGAAGAACTTGTCTGTCAGTGTAGAAAGAAGAATTTTTCTGCAGCTGACTTTTTGTGTCCGACAGGTTTTACCAAGATGTGTCGCTTGTCTGTTTTCGCGGCTGTGCTGCTGCTGTCTGCCTGCTGCTGGGCTGACTCTGAGGTAAGAACAGAGGTTTGTTGTGTTTTTAAATTCACCACAGCACAACCAGAAGCTCTCTAATCTGAGCTGACTCAGTTTGAAAAAGCTTATTTTCCTCTCACACACATCTTTGATCCATAATGTTTATTGTTGTTTTTTAGCCCTGAAACATTGACATTTTTTGAAGGAAATTATTTGATGATTGGAGTTGTTTGGTTATTTGATGCTTCAGGTTTAAGGCTGCAGAAAGCTGACTGCATCTCATAGTCTGACTGTGTGGAACAGAGAGTACTTTATTCTTGAATTAACCATGGTACTAAATGTTAATGTAGTGAAAGAAAAATGTCATTCCTCAAAGAAGACTTTAAACTGAAAAGTATCTGAATACTTGATTATTAGTACCCATGCTTTATTTAAACAAATCTTCATTCGACAGATAAATGAGATGAAGCTCGTGTTAAATTATTTTGGATCAGGCACCAACAGAAATCTTTATTTTTATTTATTTTCACTTTTATCAATTCAGTGACTGGATCCATTTTTCTTCAGTGAAAAAATTAAGGCACCTTAAAATGTTTAAAAAATGCATTTTTCCTTTACTTGTTGACTTATTGGTTGTTAAATATCATAAATATTAGACTACTTGATTTGTTTGCTACAATGAAGTATCACGGCCACACAGCAAGATTTTTTTTAAAAACGAGAATAAAGTCATAATATTCTAAATTATGGTTGTAATATTAGATTAAAGAGTAACTTACCCCAAAATTAACTTTTTTTAGCTGATAAACTGTCTAGAATGTGTCTAAAATGTTATATAGTACTGTTTCTGAGCAAATTTTGATGTTTTTGTATGTATTTGTTCAAATCTGTAATATTTGGTCTAAAAACGTCTTTTTGCTGCGTACATGGGTGGAGCAGTGGTACTGCAGGCTAATTTGCATATTGGTTAACGGCTCTSCRYKKTGACGTGGTTCTGCACAGTTTCGTCACAGCGGCTGTCCTCTCATATAAAAGCCTCTCTCTAAGACACGCCCCTGCAGCAGTCAGAGGGTGGAGCTGTTAGCAAACTTAGCATGATCGTCTGTTGACTTTCAGCCTCGGTGGAGAGAGGAGCTGGCTGCTCTCTCTGTTCTCTCCCCCTCTGTCTCTGTCTCTCCACACACACACACACACTATGTTTATCTAACATGTCAGAGCCTATAGGATGATTTAAAAAACAATAAATAACATCAAACAGCCATCTTCCAACCTGTTCTGCCTCTAGAAATAAGTTACTTTTCCCCCTCTCCTTTCCTCCTGCTTCACAGCGCTTTCATATCCGCAGCTGCTGCCCCCCACCCCACCCGCGGGTGCTTTTATTTTTTTCTGTCAGGCAGTCAGAGCGCTACTCCTCTGTCCGGTGCTGGTGTGGGGTGAAAATCCTCCACCTCAGACCGTTCAGAGATGTAACTGTCTGCGATACTGTGGTCACTTTCCATGTAGCATCAATTATGCTAATGCTAGCTGCCTGTCACGTTCTGTCGTCCTGGCCACACCTCCGCTCTCTAACCCCCCTTCCCCTACCCACACCCCCTCCCCTACCCACTTTGATGCATTTTTCAAATTTCGCCTTGGGGCGGAGTTATCTTTTCACAGGGGGGTAAGTTACACTTTAAAGACATATACACCTTACACAAAAAAGCAGTCTTACCACTACATTAAAAAGAGGAATGTTGAGCAATTTGTTGTTCTTTAGTATCAGTTAAAAGAAATTATCAGTACCAGGAGTTTGAAACAATTGTGCAAATGACTTTACGATGAACTGAACCTGTATTATAGCCTTTATTAATGGCTGCATTGACAGCATTGATTGTCGTAATTTAGATGGAAGCATTTTACACTAACAGTGACTCAAAAGTCATCACGGACTGCATGACTGTCCACAGCAGGTGTGAGGAAAATGAGGAGGAAATCAGTTTTAAAAAATCAGGAAAAGAAAATGGACATGTCATCCATGATTATGACATTTTTGCATTATATGACTTTATTCTCATTGAATTATGACTTTAATATTGTAATATTATGACTTTATTTTTGTAATAATAATAATAAAAAGAAATTTTGTGTGGCCCACTCCATCGTAGTTTGCAATGTAATATATTTTAAACAAACTAAGACAATGTGTGTTTGGTAAAACTTCTGGAAGTAAGAAATGTTATAAAAAGGTAAAGGCAGCACTTTATTTCCAAGCATTTTAAATCTCACCTCAGTTTGAGACACGAATAAATTTATATGTTTTTCTAATTCATGTTTTTGCATCATCATCATCATAATCATCATCATCATCATCATCATCATCATCATCATCTCTCCTTCCTGCTGTCCTGCACTGAATCCTCAGACAGGTATACAGTCCGCTCAAGTCATCAGCTCTCCCTTTATAAACACTCAGAGTTGTGACTGGCGTCTAAAATGTTCTTCTTGCCTCTGAGCAGAGGACCTCTCTGTGTCTGAACTCTTGGAGCGAGCCAACCGTAACCTGGGTGAGTCTGAGCCACCACTAACGACATGACTCAGCCCTGATGTTTGTCTTTAACAGTTGGCCAGGTGTGTGTACGTGCGTGTGTGTGTGTAAGTGTCGGTGTGCTTTGTTTCAGTCCGTTCTGATAATGAGCCCATCCTGATCGAGGGAGACATCGCCATCGACACTGATGCAGAGAAAAACGCTGATCCCTGCACCAGCAACGGCTGCATGTGGGGCAAGTGGACCGATGGGAACGTCTACATCCCTTATTACATCACCAACCACTTCAGTGAGTGTCACAATCAGAACATGCACCGTTGTTTTTGGTGAGTCACGCAGCCTGTTGCAGAAACATCAACAACCAAGAGTGAGACCGAGGACAGATGAAACTGTTCTTCTGTACACAGCGGGCCGGTTAACGATAAGGTCAAGTCTGATTTCTTCTAAAAGTCCAGCAACAGGCATGTTGGCTAAAATTCCTTGAAGGAATGCATATCATCTTTCATACCAGAGTTTTTAAAAATTGTTATTATTGTTTTTTACAAATGGGGTTAATTACATAATTGTCTGGCCCAGTTCTTGCCCACACAGTGCACTAACACCAGACTCTACAAAGACTGACAGCCCTTTGGTGGCCGAGCTGTTTGCCAGATGTTAGTTAGGCCAGCACCAGATAAACTAAATCACAGCTGTCTTGGCATGCCATCTCACAAACAGTAAGATGATCTGGCTCACATCTGGTTAACAAACCACTCGCCATGCTACCAGTCAGCCAGCAGGACCAGCTGGACTCCAGATCTGGCCCACACCTGTCTGCTGTGTGGGTAACTGTTCTGGTCAAATCTTGGAAACAGCTAAATATAAGATTTGTTAGGGGTGACTCTCAGCCACTGCCACATCCAGTTTTAACTCATAAAACTAACAAGCTATTAGAGCCTTTTTGGGTGGGTTCCGAGATTAATGGATATTTAAAATTAATTATAGGTGAACATTAATATATGATAAATGTACAAAGGGTACGTACTTTTCGATTGTTTCATTCAAACACATTCAGAGGTTCATGAGATATTTTGCTAACAGACAACAGATTGATAATTGTACTAATAATGAGGTCACTTATATTTCTGCATAGATTTTAGATTGTGGGTCACTTTTGCACCAAAACACAAACACATTTTGACCACATTTGGGGTGAAGTTACTCAAAACATCTCGACTATAAGAGTCCAAATCTCGCAGTCAGACTAGTTTTGTTGTAAAACAGTTTTGTTTTGTGTCCTGCCAGGTGACCGTGAGAAGGCCATCATCATCCGCGGCCTGGAGTCTTTTACATCCTTCTCTTGCATCCGCTTCAGGCCCAGCAGGACCACTGACACCGACTGGCTGAGCATCGAGTCCCAAAACGGGTAAAAGCCTGAGACCGAGGAACAACTAGTTGGTCAAAACAAAACAAAACAAAAAAAAAGGTAACTCACTGACTGAACTTATCTCTCCTCCCTCCCAGCTGCTGGTCCTACGTTGGCCGTCGCGGTGGTAAGCAGGTGGTGTCTCTGGCCAGGAGTGGCTGCCTGTACCACAACACCGTCCAGCATGAACTGCTCCACGCTCTGGGCTTCAACCATGAACAGACCCGCTCTGACAGGGACAGCTACATCAGGGTTCTGCTGGAAAATGTTCAGTCTGGTAATGAAACTTTTTACCTCTTCTCAATCACATGCAATTAACGCCAAGTAGTTTAAAAGATAAAAAATAGAAATAAAGAGTGATTTGGTTTTTCCTACAGGAATGGAGCACAACTTCAGGAAGATTGCCACCCTCAACCAGGGTACTCCATACGATTACAACTCCGTCATGCAGTACCACAGGTAAGAAAAGTTTACAGTTTCGCTTTTCTTCTTCTTGACGTGCAACATTTTCTCATAGCTGAGTCTAAATGATCTGAGGTTTGTTTATTTTATTTTATTTATTTTGGTAAAGGTATGCCTTCTCTAAGAACAACCAGCCCACCATGGTCCCTATCCCTGATCCCAATGTCTCCATGGGAAATGCCAAGGAGATGAGCCGCTACGACATCGAAAGGCTCAACAAGCTCTACAAGTGCTGTGAGTGATTTGTTTTATTTCCTGTGCAAGAAATACTTGACCCAAAATACCTTAAAKGACCTTCCCGTCAGCACTGATCTAATCCTTGTGTTTTTACTTTACAGAAGGAAGTCTGCCCTCGTTAGACGGTAGAAAAGAAGGCTGAGTGTGCAGCAGACCTGAGTCCCTATGTAAAACATAACTAAACTGTTGTTATGAAAAATATTTTTTCCCTTGTCTTATTATTGAAACTCAATTGCAGAACTCCCATTGTTTAAAAAAACACACATTTCAGTCCTGAGTCCAGCATTAAATTTTATTCTGTAACAAAGTTGTTTGGAATTTTCTCATAATCTGAGATCAATAATGTTTGTTAATTTTTACACAATGGAAGTTTGTTATCTTCAGCTTCAAGGGTCAAAGAGTTACAAATCTCTAAAATATTTCTCAGACTCTCTGTAAGTCAGCTCTTCTGCTTTGTACTCTTGGTTTTCACTGGAATAAAACCTGTTTTTCAAGCAAGGAATGATTTAATTTGTCTTGTTTACATTGATTCTTTGATTCCTGCGAATCTAAAGTTTAATCTTTTCCACAAGATTTCACATATCTTTATCCTAAATGTGACACTTCAACATACATGATCAAAACTCAAACAGTGATTATTACATTTCACCACACATTGCTGCATTTAGGTTATTTTATTTATCCTTATGAGACTTCTTAATGTGGGATAAAATTATGCATTAAATAAGTTTTATTAATCTGCAGTATGATTATTGGCAGAGTGAAGAGAAGAATGAAATCTCCCAGTTCTTGTTTGATCATAATTATTGTTTCTCCAAAAGTAAAACTTGTTGAAGAAAATCATTTATATTACATTTACACCAACTCCACTACCAAACAGTTTTGTGTGTGATCAGATGATACCCGACAAGAATGTTTGTTTCTTGTGGTGGAAGAAAAAAAAATCTACAATTGCCTGTTTGAGAAATAAAAAAAGCTAATGTGCTTCCTTTTTATTAACATGTTTCTGTAAATAAATAACTGTGATGGACTTGCGACCTGTCCAGGGTGTACCCCGCCCCTCGCACTGTGACTGCTGGAWATGGGCACCAGTGACCCACGCAACCCTGAAAAGGWAGAAGCGTGTACAGAAAATGGATGGATGGATGGATGGATGTAAATAAATAAATAAACAAACAAACAAATAAATAAACAACATGATTGAAAATATTTACTTTTACTTCATTCATTTTATAATAGCATTTTTAAATTATGTTTAACTTAATTTTGTTAAGATATTTATTGTAAATGGGTCTGTAAAGGGTAATAGGTCAAAGTGCACTCCCATTTGTGAACACACGGTGGCGGTAGCGCTCCAAACGAACACATTAAAAAGGCATTATGGGCTGACAGCGCGAGAAGAAGGGGGAGTTTTTTTTTTTTTTCTTGTCTCCCCGTTTCTCAAAAAATGGCGGACACGTGTAGTCAATTATTGCTGGGATCCGGCCTCACCGTGGCCTCCCACCCTTTGATGTACATTAAAGTCCTCATTCAGGTAAGGAGAAATTAGCGGAACATTGGCCGGACTGACCCAGCTGGTCCAGGTTCGGCTTCAGTGGCCTCGGTTTGTGAACTTGACTCTCCAGTGAGTGGCCCGGAGAGGAAACTCATTGAAAGAAACGCGGTTTGTTGTTACCTTAATATCAGTAAATAAGTATAGGCCGTCAGACACGTTTACATTTATTTGTATAGCTTTTAATTAAACGCACATAATGAGAGAAGCACGGGTAAAAGAGTTAAATCTCTACTTCTGCTGTCTTCATGTCCCTGTGACCTTCTGCTTTCTAAACTGAAGGAAGCGTCCTACTGTTTATTCTTTGCTCTGCTGTGTTGCTGTTCTTGACTAAATGGAAGAAAACATACTTATTTAATAAAAACAGGTTTTCTAACAAAACTTTAAAAGAGTTGTCCTCTTTAGACGGTGTGAATCGTCAGGATTGTGTGAGTAAGCTAATTGTGCTAAATGCTGCACAATTATAAATGTTAACCTCACAGAGCTAAAGCTTCATTTAAACCGTTTAAGAAGGGAAATAATCGGTCAGCTCACATTAGCAGCTGCTGTCAGGCTAAAACTAAGCTAATGCTTGTCCTGTGTTTTATTTTGATTTTCAAAAATAATAAAAACATGTCAACATGTTGCCTAAATGATATTAGAAAGTAATGTTTGGACTTATTAATGTGCCTCACTCAGCTGTATTTGATGCTTGTCATTTAGCAGTTTCTCCTGGTTCTGTTACCAGGTGGGATACGAGCCTCTGCCCCCCACCCTGGGCAGGGACTTGTTTGGCAGACCGGTCCAACAGCTGCCTGGTTTGTTTGCTTATGGTAAGTCTGACCCTCTCCACGTGTAAAAGTCCATTCAGATATGGGGCCAGTAATCTTTACCACACTTTTCTTTATGCCTCTAAGGATAATGACTATTATAGCTTATTGTGAACTCTTGAAAATGTTACCTAAGGTGTTTATTTTGTTTAGACTTGTAATTTTGTTTATGGTTATTAGAGGTGAACATGGAGCTCTCAAATGCAAATACATGGACACAAGTGAATAAAGAATAATTGGAACTGTCAGGATAATTTAATACAAATAAACAGACCTCAGATTTCCACTCTTGTTGTGTTTTACATTTTTATCCAGAGATTTGTTGATTGTTTTATGCTTTATCCGACTTAATCTGTTGTTTCCTTTGTTTATGCTTCAGCGAGACACATAGTCAAGATTGATGGAAAAGCGGGTCTCTTCAGTGGACTCGGTCCACGACTCTGTGCCGGTGCTGTCGGCACAATCGTGCACGGCAAAGTTGCACAGGTAGGTACCTTCAGTAGCTTTTTATGTAAAGCTAATTTCTTCTAAGTTTAATGAAGTCATGGCGATGCATGAGGAGGGATATAGCAGCTTCATTATCAGACAGGCTGTGAATTTAGAATCTAACCCTCCCTTTCTTCTTACAGAAATGCCAGGAAAAGGGCACACTTAAGGTAAGAGGCAGACAACAGGATGCTTTATCAGTCAGCAGTAACATTATAAGCACTCACAGATGAAGTGTTCATCTTTTCACAAACGTTCTGTTGGGAAAATCTGCATCCTGTTAGGTTTTGTTGCTCTGCCGTTTTTAATCCATTGATAACTTACTGGCTCTAGTCTCCTAAACACCCCCAGATGTTACTTGCCCATGCCCTGGCTGCTCACAGCTGTTTTACCAGTGAAAGCAAACTGATAGGAAAGAGGTTATTATGGCTACATTAACACTCATCATCTGACTTTACTTCTGTGAGGTGGAGGTGAGCAGATCGATCCAATACTATGATACTAACCTCGAGTCTTGAAGGTTCAGTCTTCCAGCTCCACGTTTTCAGCTACAGCAGTGGTTCCCAAACTTTTTATCTTCTGACCCACAAAATACCCATGGCAAAAACTTGTGACCTCAAATATTACTGGTCTGAGTACATGAACTTCGTTAATAACCCTAAAAACACAGGCTTTTTGACAATCTAAACAGCTTTTACACAGATATAAATACTTATTTTTTACTTATTTTGTGTTTTTGTAATAATTATAGGGAAAATATTACACTAGCAATTATTTTATTATCCTTTAAATTAATTTCTGGAGATTATCCAAGGTGCTTCGTGACCCATAATTGGGTCCCAAGCCCAACTTTGGGAACCAAAGTGCAGTGGTTCCCAAACTTTTCAGCTTTTGACCCACAAAATAACAGTAGAGACCTGTGCCCCCAACTATTTTTGGATGATAAACATTTGTATCAGATCAACAAAACATGGGCATAGTAACAATATTTTATACTACATTTATCCATTTTAAATATACTAACCYCACTCATTTGTAACAACTAAGGCAAAAATGTAATTAATTCAGAAAATCTTTTCAGGACCCCACCTTGATGTTTCGGGACCCCACTTTAGGTCCTGAACCCAACTTTGGGAAACACTGAGCTACAGAACAGTTCCAGTTGCTTTGTCTTTTTTGTTGTTGTTGTTGTTGTTTGTTTTTCATGTGCTGGGTAACTGAAAATCCACAAAAATACATGATAGTAATGCCTGTCTTGGATCGTATAGATCAGGGGTGTCAAACTCCAGTCCTCGAGGGCCGCTATCCTGCATGGTTTAGAGGTTTTCTAGCTCCAACACACCTGATTCAGTGATTGAATTAACACTTCAAATTGGGCAGAAGCCTGTTAATCACCCAGCGATCAAAATCAGGTGTGTTGGAGCAGGAAAACCTCTAAAACATGCAGGATAGCGGCCCTCGAGGACAGGAGTTTGACACCCCTGGTATAGATACTAAAGTTACTCAGTCGATACTTTCAGCTCGTTGCATCGTTCCAAAAATGAAATGCTGCACCGGAGCATCCGGTCAGAGGCAGGTTCAGATATAAACACTGAACTAAACAAGCCTGTCAGATAATTATTTAATCTGCTCTGATTGCACAGCTTCAGAATCGACATGCTAACATGTAGCATCCATAGGCTACTTCTGTAACCAGTGAGCTGAATGTGACGTCACGTCATTATCTGTGCATCAGTGCCATGAGGGCGTTCATACAGGAGTCTGATGGAGGTCAAATTTAAAATATATTGTAACCATCTACTAATAAAACTTTTTTTGCAAAAAAAATCAAGAACTGCTCTGTGAATGAGGCCTAAGTTACTGTTTTTCTTCCTAAAAGCTGATGGTTCATATACTTGTCTTTTACTATTTAGTGAATAAATATCTGAAAGTTGAGTAATAATTAATGATAAACAAAATGTTCAGGGATTCTCTGCTTTAGTCAACCAAGAAAGACACTTTTTTTCTTACAAGCAGCAGTGATGGAAGTGGCAGCTGTTTCCTGTTAAGCTAATAATCTCCCACAAAAGATAAATTACAGGACATTTAGAAATGAGATGTCATTAAAGGAGTGGCAGGGGTTTCCAAAATATGAATTAGTTACCAAAGTTACACCTTTTCTTTGTTTTGTGATAAAATAAATGCATCTGTCCTCAACTAACTGAAAAATATGAAGGTTTAAGACCCATGTAGCCTTAGTTTGTGAAACTGGCTGCATTTTAGCTAAATCTGCCTCTTTAATGGTAATTAGAGACATGTGATGCAGAAATGATCAACAACAAATAAACTGACTGGTGTATGTTTATTAGGCTGACTTACTTTTTTAGTAATTTACCTGTTTGTTTGTTTTTTTGTTTGTTTTATCGAGGCTGCTGAATTGAAAAGCTTTCAGTGTTTATCTTATTCCATTCTGGATTGACTAATAACTATCAGGTCAAAATCCATAAAGCCCAGAGGAGAGGTAAAGCAAAGGCAACATTATCAAATCAAATGTAGTGCAGGTCCATTTACTGTCCAGTTAAGAAAGTGCATTTCTGCTTCAGAGGTTGCCCTGAATGAGCTCTGGAGTCTGCAGAAGATATGAACAAGTGCAACGTAAACAAAAACATTAAACTCTAAAAGAGCTTTAAAACAAGGTGTGTAGCACACACTGACCTGTGGGCACACATATTTCAAACAGGAACAGCTCAGACGGCCAAACCACAGAAACAATCAGGTTTTGTTTTGCTTTTGTAAAACTGGTTTAGTTTCTGGATTTTTAAGTTGTCCTAAAGAGAAGTTCTGACCAAAACTCATTAATCCCACAGAGAGTTCTGGTGTGTTGGCCTCACTCTGCTCCCCTCCTGTTTCTACTCCTCTCTGGTTCAAATACAGCATGAAATAATGTCTAGACAAAGCTGAGGTTTCTCTCTGGTTTCAGGTCCTGGGGGTCCAGCAGAAGGCTGCGGAGGGCTCCCTGCAATATGTTGTCAATGAGGTAACGCACATCCTCATCTAATCAGAGCTGAAAACCAGCTCAGATCACACAGTTCGATTCTGTCGGATTTATTTAGCAGCGTAACAAAACCACACAGTGGGGTCCTCAAAAAGACCTAACAGAGCCGGACTCAGGAGCGCTAACCTCAGTCTGAATATAATTCACCTGACGGGTTTCACTTCTTCATTACTGTCTGGAGAGTCCTTGTGAACAGCCGACTGACAGCAGTTGTGTTTTCTGTTTTGAACCACGTCATCGAGCAGATAAGGACACATTCCTGAGCAGAATCATAGAGGCTTCATGGCAGACATCTTTAATCTGATGGTAGTTTTAAAAAAAAAAACATCTCTTACAACAGTTGTCTTTTTAATCCACCGTTTAAAATGATGCAGAAATGAGTTTCACACGTTTCTTTTTGCCTGCATCACATCTCAGTCTTGGATTACTTATTACTTACTTTAAAGTTTAGTTCTGATTGAAGTGCAAAAGATGGATTTATGTTTGCCACAAATGAAAAGCTAAAGTCTGAACACATCTTCAGAGCAAACAAAAAGCAACTGGACATATGTTTACTGTCATAATCCCTTTAGTAGAATGAAATGATTCTACCCTGCAGGATGTCATGTAGCTACACTCCAGGTCACACACAGTCATCCAGCTATCCATTTGGGGACATTCCATTGACTTTCATTACATTCCTACAGCCTAACCCTGACCACAAACCCTAAGGCTAACCTCACAGGTACCTACCTGACCCTAAAACTAATCTAAACTCACTTCACACCTTGGTCCTAAACCCAACCCCCAACCCACCAATGGCATTTAAACCAAATGGGGACTCGACTTTTGTCCCCAAATGCACCAGTTGTCCCCAAAGGTAGGATTTTTGTCTTTAAATTGCCCTCAAATATCACCAAACACACACACACACACACACACACACACACACACACAGACATTTGTTCTTGAACCCCATGGGGACCTTCCATTGACTTCCATTCTTTTTTTTTTTTAGACTTTATAGCGTAACCCTGACCATTTACCCTAAAATTAGCCTCACAGGTACGTACCTGATCCTAAAACTAACCTAAACCTTGGTCCCGTAATTTGTATTTGGACCTGTGGGAACCAGTCGTTTTTCAGGAAAATTTTCCCCACGTTGTAGGAAAAACAAGGCCATACACACACACGTGTTGTGGCTGATTTTATTTGTTTAGTGTGTTTTGTTTTTTTCTGCAGACAACTAAAGAGATGATTGCCCGCTCCTGTGCCACCATCGTCACACATCCGTTTCATGGTATGTTGCTACTTCCTGCTCACACTTGTTTTTATTTTATTTTATTTATTTTTATTTTTTTGCTTGTCATTATTATTTTATTCTTCTTGGTACTGGTCTGTGTTTAAAGTTTCTTCTTCTGGACTTGTTTTCTAGTGATTACTTTGAGATGTATGGTCCAGTTTATTGGGAGGGAAACGAAATACAGGTATAGTTTTGATGGTTTGCTTTGGCTTTAAGAGAGAAACAAGAAAAATCATTTTCAACCCTTTTTTATTTTTATTCTCAGCGGGGTGTTTGATTCCATCGTCACAGTCTACAGAGAAGATGGCATTTTGGGCTTCTTTGCGTATGTTTTTCACTATTTTCAGCCCTGGTTAAAATGTTTGCTCTGTCCTCCTCCTAAATGTTTTAAAGCTGAAAATGAAGTATTTATTGCTCACCCAGCCATCCATTTTTAAGTCAATATGTTAATGTCTTCTGATTTGTTTAGGATAATTATCCTGCTGAAGTTCACTTCTGGTTCTTCATTTTTCTCTCGAATACAGTGATTTGCTTATTTATGCAAAATACCACAAGCTTTTTGCCACCCTGCTTTAACTTGGATGAGATTGTTCCTCCTTAACATCTGCCAAACAAAAAAATACAAAAAAATAAATAAAAACAGGCACACACAACAGCTTTACATTTAATAACTAAATGCATTTTGAGGGTTTTATTCCAAGACTAATTATAAGAAACATGTATAGTTCACCATACTCATTTTTCTTGTATTCAAGATGATTTTTTTTTTGTTTTTGTTTTGTTGTTTTTAATATTAGTCTAAAGTTTGTTGTTTTTTTATCTTTTTGTTTTCAGTGGTTTGATCCCTCGGCTGCTGGGTGACATCCTGTCTTTGTGGATTTGTAATCTTCTGGCTCATGTCATCAACGCATACGTCATCGATGACTCAGTGAGTCACCTTTTATCAACCATTCAGGACAGTCCCAAGTTTGTTTGTGTTTTAAGGAGGATTTATTTTATTGACTTATTTACCCTAAAAACCACCTGTTAGTGTTTTTAATTTTAAGGATGTCAACAAATCCATAGAGATGTGAGGGTCACAACTTGTTTTGATAATAATCCATTGTTTTAGTTTAGGTGTCTAAACCAGATAGTAGTTGTGATACTTCCAGTTTATCCCTTTCAGAATAAAAGCATTCCTAGATCCAAGTTTGTATTTTTATAAATATAATTTGTTCTAGTCATATATCAAATACTTTCTCTACCATATTTTATAGTCAATTTTTGTATTTATTTAATTTGATATTTCTTTTTGACATTCTTAGTTAGAAGTTTAGCTGCTATAGATGCTACATGCTACACACGCTGCCTGACACATTCAGCACTGCTTGTAAGAGAATCAGAATACTTTATTGATCTCCGAGGAAATTACAGAGGGGATTGTTTGTATTTAATTTGAAGTAAATAGCATAAAAACTGAAGTTTTACACTTGTGAATGTTTTARCGGACTTTAAATTAACGGAAGTCAATCAGTCTGCTAATGGTTTTCAAAGTTAGCAATAAAAAAGCTAATCTGCTAAATGAGAATCTAGTTCCGCTATTAGCAGAACTATGTCCACTACTGCTCCTCATTTTTCTTTATTCAGCAGAAATTGTTAAACTTGTTAATGTGTGCTGTTCCCATGTCGTCCTCTGCAGATGAGTCACACGGGTGAAATCAAGAACTGCTCTCAGGCGGTGACGGGGGTGAGTCTGTCGGACGTAAGCAGCGCTCCGTAGCGTCTGCAGGCTGCAGTCTGACCCTGTTCCTCCTCTGCTCTTTTCTTCCAGTTCTTTGCCAGCATGCTCACATACCCTTTCACTCTGGTGTCCAACCTCATGGCTGTCAATAACTGCGGGTGAGTTGCATACTTAAGCTGCTGCTGGGAAATTACTCGTGTCTGATCCAACACTCTTAACGGTCCTGTTCCCATTAGGCTTGCTGGAGGTCTGCCTCCTTATGCATCTGTATATCCAACCTGGGTGGACTGCTGGAGGCATCTAAGCAAAGCGGTAAGTCCAAACTAAACATGCTATATATAACCATAAAATCATCTCAAATCATTAAAGGGCAAATCCAAACACTTTGAATAGGCGTTCTGTGCAAAGAATATAAAGAAAAATGATAATCAGATTCAGTTTGGAGAAATAAAGTGAGGAGGTTTAAGCTAATGGCTTATTAGCTGTGTCCTCTTCTTGTTTTAATAAAGCACAAGTTACCTTTTCATGCCTTCCTTAAATTATTATTTTTTGTTTCTTACTCTGGTTCTAATCTGCTCAGCCAGTTTCATCGTCTCCCTCTCTTCATTCCAGGGCAACATGAGCAGAGGCAACAGCGTATTTTTCCGGAAGCTTCCAGCAGGAAGGAAATACGCATACGACCAGAAGATAATTTTTTAAACCCCCCCTACCCCCCTTCCAGGAGAACTGAGCTGAATCTAATTGTGATAATAAAACAAAACAAACAAAAAATTAACATCGCCTGATCTGGGGGCTGAACAGTTTAACATTTATTTTTTAATGCACTTGTTTACTGTCACTTTTTTGTTGTTGTTTTTTTCCTAACAGTCTGCCATCATCTGAAATGATTGATTCCAGGTAATTCCAGCAGTTATCGAAGTGACACAAAYGAAAACTGCAGTGGAGGATCATGAAGTCTAGTTTTTGTTTGAAACCTTGTCTGATGGGTTTACTGCTATCTTTTGGTGTAGTGTTACTACAAACCAACAAGAACACACCTTCAACCAATGTTTTTATATAGATTATCTACTAACTTAATGATGGGATGTTTGCTGAAAAACAGCTCTTCAGTCTGCATGTGGTAATGTGTAAGAATTTCTGTGAATGATAAGTGGTGGTGATGTTAGTGCTGCTGCGCTCTCTGCTGGCTGGCTGGAGGTCAGGAGCTCTACCTGGGCAGCGACTGTTTGTTTCAACTTCTGATTGACCCAAAAAAATAAAAAAACACAACTTTGACTTTCTGTTGTTTGGCTGATGTGTGGAACAATTTATGAAATTCAATATACTATTTTGTTATTGGAAAACTTTTGAAAATACTAACATTTATTTTTTTATTTGGTGGATAAGGAACCAAAACATCCCCGCAAGTCTGATCACTGAAATAATGAACTGCAAATTTTAAACATAAGCATTTTGTTTGTTTTTTTATTTCATGGTAAATCACACATTTCATAAAACAAAGTACAAACCGTACAATTTTTTTCAGATTATTCCATTACAGTGCTCAGTGTTTGGCTAAGTCTCTGACAGAAACAAGTTACCTCACTTATGTGTTTGTGGCCGAGCTTCCTGTCTCTCCTGCAGCTTTGGTGCCGCTGTGCAGACCGCTGATGTGTTGAGTCATGGCCTTGCGGTTGGTTGTTATATGACGACACTGTATACAGGTGTAACGCCCTCTGGTGTGTTCCCAGAGGACACGTCTGCTGCAGGACATACCTGGAAGAGAAAAAGACTTCTCAGCAGTGACACATAAAAATCTTCTAATGGTTTAAAAATGTTAGGTTGACCAGTTAGTTGTAAAGGGTGGTTTACCTTGATTCTTTTTCCAGATGGCTGAAGAACCAGGCGAGGATAAAACTGCAGGACCAGGGTGCTGTCCCACCACAGACCTGCTCAGTGTCTGCTGCTGAGTCTGAACACTAGGAGGGTCAACGGATACTTTCAGAGCTGCAGAGTTCAGAGAGGGAGGCAGATTAGAGCCTTCGATCCCAAATAGAATCTGGGGAGCAGCTTCCCTGAGCTGGTTAAGGGGGTTCTCGAAGAGAGGCAACATGGGGGGACCAAGCACAGGGGGTTCAGCAGAGACTAGATGATGAGTAAGAGCAGGCAGGGATCCATCCGGGTTTGGGACTTGAGCTGATTCTTGCTGGGGCGGCGACATCGACTCCAACTTTGGGGGCTGCTGGTCCACAACTGGAGGGGTAGTGTTCTGCTCGCCCACAGCGGGTGTTTGCTCAGTAGCCTTCGATTTGAGCCGTGGCAMTTTGGAACATGTGTGTAGGTGTGCCAGGAGGCCACGGTAAGACCGCAGCTTTGTGCGACAGCTCTCGCACCTTCAGAAACAAAAGCAAGGTGTCAGTGCTGTTCTGACTAAATACGAAACTCACATCAACAAGTGCAACTCACTGGAAGTACACGTTGGGTTTGTGATGGTGCCTCATGTGTTCCATAAGTTTCTGCATGCTGGGGAAGGAACCACTGCAGCCAGTAGAGGAGCAGAGGAACACCTTATCTGTAGAGAAGAGAGATATTTACCTGATGACATAATGACTGGAGTCCACTCTGATAACATACAAAACCATTGTCCAAATGACAACCAAGCAAGTTCGTCAATTTGAGCACACTGAAGATGAAGGGATGTATTTGAACCTTTATGTTTACATGAACATACATAAAACTCACCCGGAAGAGACTGAGCAAGGATCTCATGGTCGCTGATGTGGCTCTGCAGGGCTTTCGTGTCTGTGTACACCCGCTTACAYCCGTGCAAAGGACACGGTAATTTCATAGCTTCTAAAACACAAACAGCATTAAAATGGGCCGTTGTAAAGAAAAGATAACTTTTGGCAATTTTACAATGACCAGCTTATTTTGCATCTCATCTGGAGCTGCATTTTCTGCTAGCTGGTTGCTCGGCGGAATTAAATTCCGCCCAAAGTTGACGTTAGTTTCCTTGAAATGCAGGTGAAAAAACGAGCTAACTTTGTCTCTAATAACACGAAAAACACAACGCAAAGTACCGTTTTCTTTTTCAGGTTTCAGCAGGACGGTGAAGCCTGGAGTTGTCATAACAAAACCCTCAGCGCTGCTGAGGGTTTTCTGCTGTTGTGACGAGTATGAGTTCTTCTTCGGTGGTGTTTTATGGCGGTCGGCAAACAACGGAAGGTGTGCATTACCGCCACCTACTGATATGGAGTGTCGATCAAAATATTTATGTTGCTTATATTCTTTTTTCCAATTTTGTTTTTCTAAAAAAATTAAAACAATTTGTATTCTTTTATTTCTGGTTTATTTTTGTAAAGTATTTATTATATTAAATGTTTCTTTAATTTTTCTTAATTCCTCTATCATCCATCTTCTGTGTTGTTCACATTCCCTGCAGACTAAAATGACATGTTTGTTCTATGGTTTCTTCTTGTCCACAATGCTCACAGACCTGTATCATGTTTTTGGATTTTGTATAATGTATTGTTCAGTGCTGTGTGTCCAAATCTAAGTCTGCTTATTAATCTTTCTTCTTCCTTCCTCCTGTTAATGGATAAGAGTTACGTCACTTCCTTCTTGTTGAAGGAGCTCAGCTGGTGAGTCAGTTCATARCAAGGAGGTAGATATAATAAAAGGACAAATATACTGTATATGGTCTGTGGAGTCAGTTGAGCAATACTATTCAGAGCCAGATAACTATTGTAAACATTTATATAAAAATTTCACCTGCAAAAAGTTTTACACAAATATTTTTGAAAGTAAATGTAGGCTATGAATATTATCAATATGAATGCACTTTATTTAAGTGATTCTGACCCAAGTTCTATGCTATTCAGTGTTTTATCAAACTTGCATTGTAATTAAATTGTTTATTGATAACATATTCAGCGGTAGCAGTAGGTAATTAATTGCCATTGCATGTAGTACTTAAATTTGAGGGAATTGGTCCTGGAAGGTCCTTGAATTAGATGTTAATAAGGTGTGTAAACCCTTTGACTTTCCTTTAAAATTTACTGATAAACTTAAGCCCAAACTAAGTCAACTTTAGAGTTTTGTGGTCAGGCCCTTTTCTCACACTTTATTTATTTATAAATGACTTTGCACAAAAAAGACGAGATGAAATCAGAGGAACCCCTGTGTGCCATCATGTCTGTGTTACCTCAGACATGATGCATATTTAACAACACCTGCCAAAGAATTTCCTAAGTCTCCTCCCACGTTTTGGTTTAGGTAGAACAGAATCTGTCTCTTCATTACCTGAAATTTCACCTGGACTTGCAAATTGAACACATTTCTTTGTTCTTTTTGTATTGCTGTTCTGAAGYACACAAAGACTTTCCTCCATGTGGTACACATCTGGCTTATCGTGAATCATAGTACTTTCCAGTAGTTTAGGGTACTTGATGCCTGAGGTTGAAGGTCCCTCATTCATTAAATATTTATTCATGCCACTAATAATCTAATCAGTGTGTTCAGTGAAAACTTTCAAACTTTTTACTGAGAAAAGGCTGCCTTTTAAAGAATCTTCTGACGAACTATAATCTGATGGTATGTCGATCCAATATGGAAAAAAGTTTGTTAGAATAGTCTACTGGCGGACTGTCATCTTTCTGGTCTGTCATTGGTGATATCTATAGAGGTGCCAGTAGGTTGAGAAGAATCATCTATGTCACTAGAAATCTCGACTGTGATTTTACCAGGGGTGGTTCTAGGGGCGGGGCCACAGGGGCAATGGCCCCTGCTGAAATCTGATTGGCCCCCTGAAGTGCCCCTGTCCTTTCACTCATCTGTCCTTTGGCTGAGAGCATTGATGGTGGCTGCAGTTCCATGCCCAAACACTAGAGGTGCTAATGAGTCAAACATTAAAGTCCAGCATAAATCAATCTTACAGAMGTCTTCTTCTCTTCTTTAAAAGACTTGAACAATTTTGCAAAAAATATCTTTCAACTGCCAAACAATTGCTTCATTTTCTCACATGCTTTGAGAATATTTTATCCATGTACAGTAAAAAAGCATGTAACACTGATATGGGGTATTTAAGCTTTTTTAACAACATTACATTACAACTGTTGGAACATATGTGACCGGTTAAATTTATACACCTTACCAAAACTGAGGATTTATGTGCAAGGATGTTGAACAAATACTTGGCCCTTCTAGGAGTACTGTGGCCCCTTGATGGCCCCTTACTCAGAAAAATCCTAGATCTGCCACTGGATTCTACTAGAATCTTCTGCACTTTTTGGCAAGACAAAGCTGTTTTTAAAATAATCTTCTGTCAGACTATGGTCTGTAGGGCTGTCACTGGAACTAGCTTTGTTTTCAAAGTTAAAAAACTGGTGTTTGAGAGCATCCTCTGGGTGAATTCGATCTGTGGTATTTACTGCCAACATCTTAGCAAGCAGATCCATGAATGCTTCTAAACCTTTATCATTGGTTCGATCATACCTATCCAATACAAATTCRAAATAGGAACTTTTCTCTTTCGTACCCACCACCTTTCCTGTTGCAAGATTGTAACTTTTTTACGATTTGAATTCCCACACATGGTTGGGAAAGTCTTTTACAAGTGTAAAAAAATCATCGTACTCCCTTCCCTTTGCTCAGACACTTGTTGTCTGGTCTAAACTGGTTATAATAGCTTTCAAATAAATGTACTCACAATCTGTGGGAAAGTAATGCTTTCCAAAGAATAGAAATGCCAGAGTACAATCAAGCCTCCACATGTCAATGCTAGCATCCATAGATATGTCCAGCAAAACCTCTGGCGCCGTAAATTCACACGTTTCAGGGATTTTAAATTCAGACAGCTCAGATGTCTTGTGCAGAACCAAAGTCGACTAATTTAACTTTTAGAGGCTGTGATTTGTGATTTACAATCATAATGTTTTCTGGTAMTCCCGGTGTTGTACGAAATCCAGTTCCCCTGTGAAAATCTGTTCCCCCCTGTGTTAGAAGCGCCTCCCTCATATTAACCATTTATGGTACATTCACACCAAACGCGTTTTGAGCATCAGGAGCATCTGCTTTACATGCAAAGTCAATGGTGGATGCGCATCTAGACGTCTAGAAGCCGAGCAGCGCGGTTCGAAGCAGTGCACGCGCGGCACATCCCAAGCGTCCGCCGTGTGAATTGGAAAATCTGAACTTAGGCTGCTCGCCGTGTCGCATCAACCAATCAGAGAGACTCTGTTCAGTCACGTACTGGTGAAGAGCCAGAAATACCTGAAGCCTGGGAAATCAGATCACAAACAATGGAGGAAAAACTGATAGTGCGATCATTTATGATCATTCCAGTGTTCGTTATCGTGACAGAAATAAGAGGGACTTTACCTGGAGGACGATTAGTGAGGAAGTCGGCATGTTTGGTAAGTTATCGAAACCACGGTTAAAAAGTTCCTCCCCTCGAGCGTCTAAAGAAGCACGTATACGTTCACATCAAATGCGTCTGTCCAGCGTCAAGATGCGTGCGTTTTGAGATGTTTAGAGGCGCGCAACAGGTTTGGTGTAAACGTTGCATCGCTCATCCCAGTCCTCTCTCCTACCCTCAGGCAGAAGATATCGCAGCCTGTCCTGCAGAACAGTGAGGTTCTGGGACAGCTTCTTCCCCTTCATGTGCGTACATGTGTACGGGCAGCTACTGTACATATACAGCGGGTAAAACAAGGATTGAACACGTCACCATTTTTCTCAGTAAATATATTACTAGAGGTGCTAATGACATGAAATTTTCACCAGATGTCGGCAACAACCCAAATGATCCATACATACAAAGAAATCAAACCATAAATGTCCAGAAATGAAGTTATTTGTAATAATGTGGAATGGCACAGGGAAAAAGTATTGAACACTGTGGTCGTAAAAGCAGAAACACGTTGGAATAATACGAGAAAAGTCTGCATATATGATAATCAAAATATGATTTAATTGTGAGCAACAAA